GTATCAATAAAAGTTATTCTTGTAAGATCCATCCTTAGTACCAAGTGTTGTTCCTATTTTGTATGGTTTAGAACTAAATACAAAAAATTTACCTATGCTTGGTTTTTATTTCGTGTAGTTTCAATAAACATCCAGATTTCCAGTTCATTTATAATCTTAGATATATTTTTGTATTCTTCTTTAATAAGAAGAAAATAGTAAAAGAAGTTTTGAAATAATGTTGAACTCTTACTTTTTTCTTTTCAAAGAACTTAAAATCAGAGCAGGTTACAGACTTTGCTCATAGAACAGCAGAGATGTTACGAATGGACCTACTCAAGTCTGAGAATTCAAGACTGAAAGCCTCTCTGTTCAACTCAAAGAAGAAAGATGGTGAAATAAGTAGAAAAGAAGCATGGTTAAGTCTGTTTTTGTAAACTTTTAGTGACTGTTAACTGATGACATAGAAATTTTATTTCCTGCTAGTATGCACAACATTTTGTACACACACTGTTTCTTATTGTACTCGTAGAAACTTGAAATTATCATTTTTAATACTATGAATTATATTAGTAGCAAGTATTGGGTATTAATAAGCAATGGAAAACCTTTGTAAAATGTAGCTTTGAGTTCTATAAATCTTGAAATTAATTTGAAGAATTAATAGATATAGAAGAAAGATGCTTTGAGAATTTAAATGTATTGTACCACGGAATCTATTTTAAATACTAACCTTCTTTATCTGTATCTGTACAAAACTATTTTTTGTTTGTTATATGTTGTGTACTTCACACGACAACCATATATCTTCAGTGGGGTAATGTGTTTTCATAGAAGTTTTGGGATAAATCCTGGAGCTTCTCCAAAATTCATTGTAGCCATCTAAGTACAATATCATTGCTTTAAAGTTGTTTGTTTTTAAGTAAAATTTATTATTTATATTTAACAGTTTTTGTAGGTTAGTAAATCTGAAATGTATCTTTGGTAGATCTGATGCATTTTACTCATACAAATTTATTGTTTATATTTAACAGTTTTTGTAGGTTAGTAAATATGAAATGTATCTTTGGTAGATCTGATGCATTTTACTCATACAAGTATACCATAAGAATATTAAAACGTAACATTTAAGCCATTTATTGCTAGTAGTGTTTTTATTATTTTCTTGTACTACAGAGTGATTCGGGCAAATAACTCAAAAATGGAGAGGTATAGTGACAATATTATTAGGGGTCATTCAAGGTTATTTCTTTTAGAGATTTTATCATCATGCATCATACACCCAAACTGTCAATAGCAGAGGTGCAGATAGTAACAGATGACCCTACGGTATATCTCTAAATTTCAGGGCAGGGTTCAAATCTGTTTAATATCACAAAATATTCCCTTTGCTTTAACTCTTTGAAACCCGGATATGTCAATTCAACTCGCCTAATGCACGATGAAATAGTTTGAAACTTCAGACTCACAGGTTACGCAGCTTCTGCAAATAGAATATTTTATTGACATACAATAAAAATAACTTTTTTTTACCATACCATAATGATAAGCAAGCTAGCTTTCCTTTTAACTTCATAATCAGGAGATTTCATTTAATGTATGCAATCAGTTTAAAACATACATATATTTGAAGATTCTCTTTGCCATTCAAGCAGTTATTTAGGTTGATAAGGCCTTATGCAAACAAAGCTTAACACAATAGTCTTGTTAGCAAAATGATTTAACTAAACCTATCTCATCTTATTCCATAAAAGCCATTTCTTATCATGCTTTTTAAAAGAAAGGGAACTAATTGTAGCAGAAGTTGTTCAGAAACAACATAAGCTTTTATCACTTTGTTTAAATCTCTACAAATATCGTTACTGATCTAGACGCCTTAACAGCTTTTACAGTTTAAAGGAATGGAAAAATAGCTTTCGTGATATTTTAGACTGAAGCAGTTACATGACACCAGACACCCAAGATTGAGAAATGGTGATTGGCTAAAAATTAATAAGACTACACTTGTTTTCAAATTTTCTTTATTTTGTTCAAAACTAGTATGACTTTCCTCCTAGGGGCTAAGTTTGCCATGTTATGTTCAAATTTCAGGAATTCACTAACACTAATAATTTTGTGAAGTTGCTGAAATCAACCCAAAATAAAACTTGCGACTTTAAAAACATTTTATGCATACAATTAAATAAATAAAACTTTTTATTGAACAAATTTCCACTCTGAAGTTGTTCTTGTTTTATGTCTACTATGTGGGAAAAGTACTACAAGTGTATGTGAAAGACTTAAGCTGTGGGTAAGTTATAAGAGTGACAGTCAATCCATTAATGTGGATGGTAGGTTGAATATAGCAGCTTTCTTTCTAGTCAATAGTTCAAAATTAGGGAAGTTTAGCTGTGCCAAAATATAAAAAATCAAAATAGATAATACCTAATTAAAACTTTTAAACCAGAATTACCCCTTTGGGAACAACAGTTATAGACATGATGCACCTTTCCTGTGTGTATATGGAAGGTCAAAGTCTGACCATAACAAAGGTTGACATGCAATGTACCTTTGAAGGGTCCAAAGGGTTAAAAAATAATTGAAGTACAAGCCCCCTACATAAGGTAGTATACAAACAGCATGTTGCAACATCATCCAAATAATGGTGCAGTATTCAGTTAGAGAACAGTTTAACACGGTCAACTATACAGAATGATTCCCAGGTGAACGTTATAGCGGCTGTGTACTACGGACTCATTTATGCATTGGTGCTATCCAGGCAAACCAAGAACAGCAATCAGTACTGACAGTAAAGCTACGAAGTTGACATTTATCACACTTATGTAGCAAATTTTGGACAGCTGGGTTTTGTTTGCCACCATTTAATAATACTGCTTTGTTATGAGGCAGTTTTGGAAATATTTGGTGTAAAATGTTTTACTTGTTTTTGCCTATACCTTTGTAATTGACAGTTGTGGTATATGATGTATATTAATAGTGACATGAATTTGAATAATCTCAAAAACATTGTCTCCTGGTGAGCCCCAGAATATCCCAATGTGTATCAGTAACATTTTACGTGGATGGCTGAATATGCACATAAAAACAAGGAAAGTTATAAGCATATGTGTCTTTTAATTAACAGTGTGCAGAATAAAGCAAGCTTTTCACAATGAACTTTATTCTGTTGTTAACACATTTTGTGATTTTTATTAAGAATTCTAACTTGTACACATTATATGTGAATGATAATGTTCAATTTATTAGGGTCCGACAACCGGTATCCACAAGTGATGTTGAAGAGGAGATCAACAAATCCCTCCTTCGTGCCCATTTACACTTATACAAATCTAACCAAGGGTCAGGTAACGTCCCGGCTTTGACAGCTTTTGATATATTACGTGCTTCCACACCAGATTCCTTCCATGTTTCAAGACAAGCTCACTCTTCCAAATATCCAGAAACAAGTTCCCAAAATTCTATGCTTCCTGAACGAGAATGTGATGTCCAGTCACACAGTAAAAGTCAGTAATATTAAAATAAGATTTTAGTGAAGAAGAAAAAATAATATATTTTTTGTAACAAAATTATTTCGTAGATTTATAATATAAATTTTCTAGTCCTAAAATTTATAGATTTTTTAAAATTAGTTAATCCAGGTTAGCTATAAACAATTGACAAAGTTTATATTTTTTCATTGTTATTTATAATCTAAACCTTACTTCTGTTACTAGTCAGTTTACTAGTCTTATTAGGTTTTTAATTTATTAATCTTCTAACTTGAAAGTTAGTAGTTCTTCATAGTAGATTGGAATGTGTTTAAATAAACAAATTGGTGTTATTTTCTTCAAAACTGATTGGACTGCTGAATTTTGTATATCAAAATATAGTGAAAATTTTTTAAAAGAATGTACCATTGTAAAAGAGCCATAATGGACTCTTCTGGAAAAAGATGGTTTATGCTGAAGTACAGTTTTTCAAATAGCAAAGGCATTAAGTTTAATATGTATGTTGAACTTATTATAGCCTGCTCCCCTTTAATCTCGAAAGCCAGCAGGATAGGGATGTTACTCTTGAATGATAAAATTAGGAAAACACGATAGCTATCTTCCATCCCTTTGGATCACTAAAGAAGATTCATACTAAAACAAATTTACAAATATAGGCATTAAGTTTAATATGTATGTTGAACTTATTATAGCCTGCTCCCCTTTAATCTCGAAAGCCAGCAGGATAGGGATGTTACTCTTGAATGATAAAATTAGGAAAACACGATAGCTATCTTCCATCCCTTTGGATCACTAAAGAAGATTCATACTAAAACAAATTTACAAATATCTGCATTTCAAGACTTTATTTGAAAAACAAACATGACGACCATACATTTATACATCCATAACATAGGAGTCAAAATAATATGATGCATTAAATCCTAATACAACCCATAAATATGCACAGAAATCTTTTAGATATTTTTAAACTGATTCTATTCACGAAGTTCTTTGAGAAAAAATTAGTAACTAAAACTTTAAACCTATATATTCCTACATACAATGACTTAGGACACTAAAAAATAATTTGTATGTTTTACACGATGTGAAACTGATTCAACCCTCTATGACCAGTTACAGGGTTTGGTACTTTTGACCTTCCTTCCTTCTGTAGTAGTTCAGAAACCTGGGTTATCTTATATACATATGTGTTTTAAGTTTGAATGTTGTGTAAACTGGAAGTGGCAATCTTTATTTATAATGTGTGTGTTATAAATTCACAATCAAACTGAAATTTTAGGATGTTCCCCTAAAACAAATGCAGCCTCTTCAAAGTTTCTGTAAGTTTTGTATTTCAAAAGAGTACTATTTTAAGTCTATTGTGAAATTAGGTCACAGTTTTCTGCAATTAAGACAACTGTTTATGGGCATAAAGTAAAAAACAAAGAGAAAAGCCATAAAAGAGGATATAACACTGCAGTAGCCCAAACAAATTTCACAACATTTGTTAAACAGTGCCACTTAATTTTATTCGTCCATGTAGTCTCACATAAACTATTCTGATGCCTATAGATAAACAAATGTATTAACATTCCTGCATTTTGTTTTTGGCTGAAACTTGTTTCAACTTTATAGTATTTACAGAGACCTCTGATGGGTAAAAGAGAACTTACGGCCGACCAATACGCAAGATTGCTTAATCATGTAGATTAAAGTTGCATTTTACAGATACCGATCACGTGTTTACAGCCCGTTCTTGGTTGTCATCCTCCTCGTGCTCTGTGGGACAGCCACGTACATATATAGGAGGACATTTGTTAGACACTACATCTTCGGTTATTTTCACACTAGTAATGTCTGAGCCTGGTATTTCAAACATTGGTTCCAAAAGCAGACTTTCCTAGAAAAAACAGAAACACAGTTTGTAAGTATATACATTTCACATTATAACACTATGACGGATGAGTCTTACACAGTTTGTATGTGTATACATTTCAAATTATAACACAATGACGGATGAGTCTTACACAGTTTGTAAGTATATACATTTCAAATTATAACACAATGACGGATGAGTCTTACACAGTTTGTAAGTATATACATTTCAAATTATAACACAATGACGGATGAGTCTTACACAGTTTGTAAGTGTATACATTTCACATTATAACACAATGACGGATGAGTCTT